TGTCATGGCCTTGGAAGGCAAACGATCAGGAAGGATCTGAGGCAAGGAATGTTCAAGCTGCTTCACCTTGGTTGCAGGCTGACCAAGAGAATGAGTTGATTAATCAGAAGAATCTGTCTTCTGGGTTGAAGCCAGAAAGCCAAGCAGGCGAAAGCAATGGACCTGTTAATAATGAGGCTTCAGGATCCTGGTCCTCGTTTGTTAATGTTAACAGCACAAGTAGTACCAGCAGCTGCGGGAGTGGTAGTAGTTCTGCACCCAATAATAAAGTGGATGTTGACTCCGATTGCTTGGATTATGAAATTTTGTGGGAGGACTTGACAGTTGGAGAACAAATTGGGCAAGGTACTCATGTTTTTTACTAAAGCGGCATGCTTGAGAGAATAAGCTTTTCTCTATTGACAATATCCATGCATCAATCGAAATACATGCATTTGTTAGTAATGCTGATATATCTATCTAAATACGGAATTTCTACTTTTGAAATTTGTTTGCTTCTTTATTAGGCCCCTCACCTTAATTTAATGCTCTTGTGAAACCAAAAATATATAGTGATCAGTAGTTATTGTCCATTGGCATGCTATATCAGCTTGAGTGTTTTCTATTTACCTTTCTGTTGTTGGTTTGCAGGTTCTTGTGGAACTGTTTATCATGCTCTGTGGTATGGATCGGTATGTTCTTTTCTCTTCCTGTAATTTCTGTTTTAAATTTCATCTTGTTTAACATGTTTAAGTTATTTGTATGCATTACACTATTGGTCATGTTGCAGTTCAAATTACTGTCGTTTAAAGTCCTTTTTAAAGTGTTCAATTGAAATTTAGTTTGTGCATCATCAGACAAAAATATATTCATGTTTCTGTAGGGTGTTACTGTTAAGGTTTTCTCAAAGCAAGAATATTCAGATGATTTGGTACTGTCCTTCAGACAAGAGGTAATGTCTAGAAGTCTAATTTACTTGTTACGTTAGGAAATGAAAAATGAGCTAAAGTTTATCCATATGATGAAGTCAGCTTGTGTATAAAGAATGCTATGGTGACCCAAACGTAGGAGAGAAAATTTGATTAGACCATAATAGACTATCTTCTGTTGATTTTACCTTAACGAATTTTACACAATGAGATCATCTTTATTAGATTTGGAAAACCTGATACGAGACTTGGCTGATTTGAATCACTTGAGGAATAACCCCTTAACTATGCAGATTGATAACACTTTACTTTCAATCAAATTAATTCTAAAATTCCTTACTTCCAGTGACTAATTGAACGTCCCTTAAAATAATGTTGTATGCCATTGATTTAACAATGTATTCTGTAATCAGGTTTCTGTCATGAAAAGACTTCGCCATCCAAATATTATTCTATTTATGGGGGCTGTGACTTCACCTCAACATTTATGCATCGTGACAGAGTTTCTCCCACGGTTTGTCTTGTGCACTATTTCTGATTTACTCAGTATCATGAGCATTCTGATTCAAATTGTTGTGTCACATAATGTTGTTTTGTGCTGATAACTGTTGCATCCATTTATGTTTTATCTATTCAGGGGAAGCTTATTTCGTTTGCTTCAGAGAAACACATCCAAACTAGAGCGGAGACGGAGAGTTCATATGGCCGTGGATATTGTGAGTACTTAAAAGCAGTATTATATTCAACATCTCTTCCTGTATCAATGTATCTTATTTGCTTTAAGTATTTACATTTTATTCTTGTGATGTTGATGTTTGGTGAGGAATAGCAGCATGTTCATTTTTGTTTCCCTATTTTCCTTTTTCAATATTATTAATCATTTCAGACATCTATTCTTGGGAGCAATACTAGTAGATTTTGACATCAACTTCAATTTGTTACCCTAGAAAGGATCTCTATCACTGTGATTGAAGCAATGGTGTATGCTTACTCTTTCTATAGGCACGAGGTGTAAATTATCTTCATCATTGCAACCCCCCGATCATCCATCGAGATTTGAAGTCTTCAAATATTCTAGTTGATAAGAATTGGACTGTGAAGGTTTCGTTACTTATTCTTTTACTTTCCTTATGATTGGTTCTATTCATTCAGTTGAGGGCTTAAGGAATTACGGCTTGTTTTTGTTCTTACTTAGCCAGGCTATCCTAATTTTTGTTGGCAAAACAGGTTGGTGATTTTGGGCTTTCCCGTCTTAAACATGAAACATATCTCACTACTAAGACAGGGAAAGGCACGGTAAGCTTTCATTTGTAATTTAAGGTTTGGGGTTTAGTGTCGAAAGTGTTTCTGATTCTCCACTTTGCATTCTGCTTTGTAGCCTCAATGGATGGCACCAGAAGTTCTTCGTAATGAACTGTCTGATGAGAAGTAAGTGTGCTTTACGCTCTCTGTGACTCTCTCTTTTTATCTTCCTCCCTCCCTCTCCCCTTCTCTCATATTCTTACTATAATCCCACTTCGATTTTTTTTTTTGCTGCTTCATGGGACCATTAGGTCTGATGTTTACAGCTTTGGGGTGATATTGTGGGAACTCACAACTGAAAAGATTCCTTGGGATACTCTCAACCCAATGCAGGTATAGTTTTAATGTGTACATGAACCATGAAAGTTTATGAAAGTTAACAGATATAAAAAATGATGTGATAGTTAAAAACTGCTATTTTCTCAGTTGAAATATTTAATATTGTTATGTTTGTTATTCAACTAAATGTAGTGCTTGTTGATAAACCATTTTACCATAGTATTCGAATTAGGTTTTTGAACTTTGAATTTATTTATGTCGACACTAATTTAGTTTTTAATTTACAAATAATCTTAGAAGACAACAGTGAGTGACAGTCTTTATCATCATCATTTTGTCCAATGCCTGTTATTATGTTTCACTGTCTACTAGTCATGCCCAGTGAGTCCATATATGAACAGTTCCAGTTGGATTCTTGTAGGTTATTGGAGCTGTAGGGTTTATGAACCATCGACTAGAAATTCCAGAAGATGTTGATCCACAGTGGGCTTCTATAATTGAGAGCTGCTGGCACAGGTGTTCATCTTTTCTACTCTGTCATACACTTTTTTAATTTCCTCCCAGTAGCCCTGAATTTCCATGGCAAAATTATTGTCATAATCAGATGCTATTGCACTATTTGAGAAATGGAGATCATTTAGTTGTAGAGAGTGACAATATGCTAAATATTATGTTTAAGTACTGCATAGCAGCATTCTATTTCTCTCATATTCCACTTATTCTTCTTTATTGGCATTTCTGAGACTGCCCTGCCCCGTATCTACATAATGGTTACAGGCTGAAAGTCTGTGGCCATGAATTCTGAAAAACATTTTACTCACTTCACTTGTTAGAGTTTTCATATTAGACATTAGTGATTAGCAGTTATGATTCGTTGTGTTTTTGAAGCAAAGTGTGGTGCAATTGCCAACTCATGCTGACTTTTTAGTTTGTTCATTAACACCAGTGATCCAGCTTGCCGACCAACATTCCAGGAACTGGTGGAAAGACTTAGAGAACTGCAGAGACAGTATGCAATTCAATTCCAGGCAGCTCGATCTGCCGAGGAAGGAACTCAAAAGGAGTTCTCTAGCAAATAGCCACAATCTTTGAGCTTCTTTCTTCTTTATCTCTACAAGCTGGTGCATAAGGACCTTTTGGCATATATAATGCAGAGCATTCATGATGAGTAAACCTGTTGGTACAAATACCTGGTTTTGGAGTCTGGCAGCGTTGTTGGTTCATCAGTTTTTGTCCAGTTATCATCATACAAGTAGGAAAATGATTACCAAACTATTTTTAGTCATTTGATATTTCCTTGATGGCACCTTAGAAGTTCTTAAACTTGCTAGTAATTCTTTATATGCTTGAAGTATTGTGGATAGGTTTGTATTTTATATGGAAAATGTTTGTACCGCAAATAGTTGTATAGAAGTTCTGGGAGAAAGAACAATACAAATCAGTGTAGGAAGCAGCAGGGAAATGAGAGAAAATAGTGGAAAGAGAATTTTAGAAACTATTGTGTATCAGAGTTTTTTGATTATTGTTGAAGTAGCACTCTCTACGTCTCATGACGACTTTGTTTGACCAAAATGGCCACAATAAATATTAGAATCGAATATCAATTTATTCAACATTAGACCCAATTCGCTTGATAGATAAACTATATATACTTCATAATGTTTGACTGCAATTTTCATCTTCCAAGAAAACAACCAACTTTGTATTCTTCAAACGTTAGTTTGGCTATTCAGCCACTTTTGTGAACATAAGAAAACATACTGGTCTGACTATACAATACAATTGTATACGAATGTTCAAATGTTAGATTAAAAAGTCACTCATAAGTATACTTTTTTTTAATAGATGAGTTCAATTTCTCTTTCACATTGATTTTGTATATCATCAATAGAAATTATATTAAGTATAATTGCTAAGATGACTACAATAAAAACAAATACGGTGAATGATTTATTTTTGAATAAAATAATATTAAAATTTATAATGAGTTCATTTAAATAAAAAGTTTAATCATTCTCCAATTTATTCTGTCCCATGGCTGAGCTTATTTTACGAGTGGAAATGTGACGCGACGAATAAAATCACGTGAAGAGGATAACATCCAACTTTCTAAAGCAATTTATAGGATGTCTCAATCATTTTTGTTTCTTATGCCAACTATCATTACGTATCAATTTTAAACATCAGCAGAAAACCTAACCTTTGAATTGAAAATTACCTTTACGATGAAAAATAATTAAAAAATTATGCTGCATAAATTCTCAATGTAAGAAAAAATAAATAACTGGCCCCTACCTAATCTGAATCGCTACCATTACTGATGCATCGGCCTTTCGTAAATTTACAACGCCTATTGAATGAATATGGTTTGTAACTTCATTACACAAAGTGGTTACAAACAAAAAATGGGACGACAATAACTCTGAAGACATTATTATTATGGCGTATGGACAGTGAAAGGAAAGGTACCATAGAGTGGGGGTGGGGGACCTTGGCATTGTAAGGGGCCAGTAACATAATTTATCGGAATCTTAATGAATAAGCAAAAAGTCAGAGAATGTGGGCACTTCCATCCCATCACTGTCCATTTCAAGAAACAATGGCAAAAATCTGAAATGTAACTTTATCAATTTGAATGTAACAAACAAAACAGAAGATGCCATTCGCACAAGCATTACACACCACAATTTCATAAGAGCACATAAAAGCAAAGCTCTTTTTACCATTTGATTTGAACAAATCACATGCTGGGCTTCAAGTTGACAACTATGTGCTTAACGAGCAAGCATGTGTATGAGACACGCGTGGAGATCTTCATGAAGGACTTCTCCATTAGATAATGGCTACTTTTATAGCACAGGAAAGATTAGGGAGAGGAGAGGTACAGTTAATCAACAATAAATTTATGATTTCTTAATGAATTAGGCCAGAATACAGTTGAGATTCAATTTAAATGAAAAACAATATAAGCTGGTGCATAGTAATTTTCTGAAGCATTGACCCTTGTTCATTATCACGTCTCTAGTGAAGCAAGTGCCGAATGGCAGCAACTGCATCACCTTTGTGCTCGCGCAAAGTTCTTTCCGCAACCTTTTTGTCCAACTGATTGAAACAATAATAAAAGTATGTCAATCCATTGGAATAAAAATTTCTAGATGAATTGATGAACAATCTGATGAAGTTACCTCTAGCTCATTAGCAATTATATCAACATCCGCTGCATTTATCTTAACAGCAGCTAATTCTTTCTCCCTGTGATTGGATAAAAAAATATACTACAGTTAAGAGATTGAAGTTATACAGATTATCAATGCAGGATTAGGAAAGGGGGAATGGAGAATTAAACATACAGCTTTTTAGTTTTTTTATCATTATTCAGGCTTAGTCTTTCAGGTATTTGAAAGTATACGTATTCTTCTCTAGCCAATCTTTAAAAGCATCGAAATTCAAAATTATGTTGGTCCTTCTAAATACTGTTAGTTTGTTTGTGACATATTAAGCCACACGTCAACTACCACCTTGTTCTCAAATTGGCATGATAGGCTAGATATGACATGTCAAGTCAGCTAATAAATCTTAGTTTAGGGCACTAATTTTTTATTTCGATGTTTTTAGGCACTGACTAAAAGGTGACATACAACTTCAAAGACCCAAGAGACTATTTCAGCCTATTATTTATTCACATAGCGCGCGTTTAGATTCAAGTAGAATTACTTAAATCACGTTAAAATATCAGCTAATGTGATTTAGATAATTGTTTACATGTTTCGTCTCAGTTAAGGAATTGAGTTTGAGTACAAAGTTTATGTAGGAACAACTTTAAATAGCTTTTGGTTAGATAAAAAAAGTATAGTAAGTTTTATTACTGAATTGTTTTTAGAATAAAATATCTACATATAAATCACTTCATTTTAAAATCAATTTTGTAAACTCACCCAAAAACACACATAAACACATTTCACTCATTTAAATTATCACTTTAGAACTTAACAAACTCTTCCACACTCTATTTCTGTTAGTAATGCAACTTGATCTTTCAATATATGTAAAAGAATAATAGAAAGACATAAAACAGTATAAAGTGCAGGAAAGCTTAGGAAAATGAACATTAGTAAGCAGCTACAAGTATCCATCCATTATAATGCAGATGACATATAAAACTAGGAACCACATGACTCCTTTAAGATTTCTAACGTTAAAGAGACCATCAGGGTTGTTTTGTCACAAATCACAGTGCCATTTGAGGAAGGGGCGGGGACTATACTAACTCTGAAAATTCAAGGGTAAATTTCAACCGTGCACCTGTCTTCACTTTTTATTGGTCATTTGGGATTTGACCTTGCATTAAGGAGGAGAACACCCATACACCATGCTAATAAGTGTTGTCTAAAAGTGGCCATAGCATTATGATAACAGAATTTCAGCAGTTTGTCACCAAATATTAACAACATTGTGAGCTTATACTGCAGCCTACGGCTTTTGAGATGCACATCTTGGTGGTCATGGAAAAAAGGATTGTATTTTTTAAAAAAAAAATTAAATGACGAGTCTTGACTGTTCAAAAACCGTTTAGTGTTTTCAACAAAGGGACCTGAATAACCTTCACACACAAGCTAAGTTGAATGACCTCTCCACTTCTATATTATTAAACCAAACAGCGATGAACACTGTATCTAGTGAACAAACCATCAAATTTTGTCATGAAACCTCTCTGTTCCTTTCTGCGCTACTTTGTTTCACTCTATTGTCTTTCCTCTCCACCTCTTTTCCATTTCTCTATTCTATTTGAGTCCTTGTTCTCTATGGCCATCATTGCCTCTTTGTTTGAATATTTGTGTTCACTCGTTTTTTCAATTTTGACTCCAGGGTCCTCACTTTGATATATTGCTTCTCAATTGTATGTTACATGTCAGTAGTTTTAATAAAGGCAACTAATGTTGAGGACCATCAAACTTCAAGGCCAGTAACAGTACTGATAAAAGGTGGAAATATTGTCAATCTTTGGAAGAAAACGACCCAAACACTTGTGGGTATTATTTCGATGGAAAAAATGAAAAGCCGACAAATCACCGTGCAAATTTAGTGGATAAGAAGGGAAACATTGTTCAAGTGTCAAATAAGCTCCATATAAGCAACAAAGCTGCATACACCTAATAATGCTTAAGATTTAAGTTGGATGAGGCTTTTAGTTCGTCTGAAAAAAAATCCAAACTTAGCATAGTTAGTAGAATCTTACTATTCATGATTTAAATCCCACAACTTGATACAATTCAATTACCCACATGTTTCTATCATGAGATGTATCTGAAATGACTTTCTCTGTTTCAAGACACAAATGAATCTATATGCAGTTTTGCATCGTCAATACAAATCACACAATCCAGATTTCATTGTTCTTTTTTACTTTTATTCCACAAATTCTCACGGAAAGGTTTGAAAAGTCCTATAAGCTTAAATTGTTAAACGAAACTGGAATTGAAGGAGCAACTTCAGAACTTATTCCATTTGATTAATCCACTAAATTATTCGTCACTCATTTAATGCATCTGACAATTGCAGTTCTACATTTCTCCATACTTCTAAGATAAAAGCTATACACCCCAAATAACTTTGTTTTACAAGACGCATGGTTAAGTTGCTTTATAAGTTTCTACTTCAAAATCATTACATTGAACACCTTACGTCCTCTACATGATATATTTCAAGTAACAACCTTGGGAACAGTACAACACCATCACTTAGTTTCTACTTTCTACGAATCTGATCCTATGTTACTTATAGTTTAGAGTAAAAACTTAACAATCATAATCCCTAGGCCACATAGTATACATTATAATGCATGAAGTCAAAGCTGGCATCGATTTTAGATGCATTGCAAGCATTGAGAATGAAGATGAGGTGACCTGATGCGCATGGCATTGCGATCAGCTTCAGCAGAAGCAGCGATGGAAGCCATTGCCTCCTGGACGCGAGTAGAGTCCAATTGGCGATCCTCGACACGGTCAGTGAGCTTGTCCAAGGCTTTACTCTGTTGCTGTAAGTCCTTCGAGTCCACCACCATCTCCACTCCCTCCTCTCCACCCTCCATTGTTGCTCCAAACCCTAACACCACCCTTCTCTTCTTCCCTTTGCTCTACTATGCCCTAACCCACCCACTCGGACAAAATTCAAAGTCTCCACAATAGGAACAATGGCGCTGCTCCCTCTTCCCTTATTGTGATCGCCCTAAGACCCATGGGCTTCCAGCTAAGAACCTTTACAATAAGGCCCTTGTTATTCTAACGCCCTTATTTTCCTATTGCACCCCCAAATTGTTTTCTGAAAAGACTAATTTGCCCTCATTTTCACCCTCCTGGATCCCATTAGGTAACCTAATTTTGAAAAAACTCTTTATATCAGTATCCTTCAAAGATAACTTTTAGTTTATATGTAAAATAATTTTCTTTTAAATCAGCTTATTCCATTATTTTTCCACCTAAAAAAATTTATGAAGAAACTTATTTTGAACAAATTTCTTGTTAATGTGTTTTATTTTTGTCAAATAATTTGACTAATTATTTGAGGTGAATTTTTTTATTTTGTTTGTTGAGTCTTAACCACATTTGTTGTCATAATCGTCATTTCGTATTACATTTGCTACCATTATCTTCGTGTTGCGTCTGCGTCTTCGCTCTATCTCTCATCGTTCTCCTAACTTTGTTTGGTTTAGTTTGATATACATTATTTATTCTTTCCTTTGCTTTTATAAATTACAAGTTTTAACGAGGACTCCTAAATTGTCATAAATGTTTTTTAACCATCACTAAAACGTCATTTTTTTTTTAGCAGCGCTAACCATCTTTTTAATTAACATGTCTTAAAAAAACTAATTACCAAATACCAAGATTCTTATTTAAACACTTACTAGAATTTAGAATTTATATTAAATAAATAAATTACGTCGCAAATAAATTTCTTAATAGTTTTAAAAAATATAAAATTAGATTGTAGATTTACAACAAACTATATAAATTAAGATACAATATTATTTTAGCAATCAATAATTAAAAAAAATATATATTAAACTCCAATACATAAGTAAAAAAAATAGATTAAAAATAAAAAAAATAAAAATCAAATATACAAAAGAAAATATTAAAAAAAATTCGTTATTCAAATCTTAATTTATTTTGTCCTAGGAAACTAATCCTTGATAGATCTAAGTAGCGACATTGCTTTTTTTATTTTATGTTAGACTTAATTTCCATTATTGAATGCCTTTTAGTTGGTAAGAAATTATAGTGGATAAATTCTACAATTGTTGTTGTAATAACAAAAAAACTATTATTTGTCATTAAATATTGACTTTTCAACAGTGGTATACATACATACACACACATAAACACACACACACA